CACTTTATTATAAAAAAAAAAATCAAATCAATGAAAACAATTTAAATATTTATATTTAAATTGTTTTCATTGATTTGATTTTTTTTAATGTTACAGTGATTCAAAAAAATTATACATTGTTGATTAAGGATATCAATGTTTTTGGATGTTATTGTTTAGTATTAAATTATAAAATTTTAACAAGTATTTTATGAAATAAAATAAAGAAAATTTTACTGTTTTCTATTTAATTTAATTTAAAACATTTTTGATTTTTAAAAATCTTTATTTTTCAGATCAGTTTGATGTTCAAAATATCTCTTGCAAAAATGTTAGTGTGCAGAGGGGATTACGAAAGGTTTGTTATTAAAAAATAGTCGTCATCCCTCTTTTTTGAGTTATTCAGAATTTAATAATTATTAACAATGTTACTTTTATACAGCATTTACTTTTAGCACCTTCAGATGTAGCAGGTTGGGGAATTTTTTTGAAAGATACTGCTCAAAAAAATGAATTTATTTCTGAATATTGTGGTGAAGTAAGTTGTTGTTATGCATTTACCATGTAATCAACTTTGCATTATTGTGGTATTTTAAAATGCAAATATTTACATTTGATGTTTTAATGAATATTTAGATTATTTCCCAAGACGAAGCCGATCGTCGGGGGAAAGTTTACGATAAGTATATGTGTAGTTTCCTATTTAATCTGAATAATGGTGAGTATTTTTAACCATAAACAGGATCTAGTAGAAATAATTAGACAGTTCATAACTTGAAAAAATATTCAATAAATGTTACTGTTTATAATAGTAAACACAGAAGTATTAACCACTTCTTGAAGACAATATCACTTCCATATTCTATATGGAAAATGATTAAAATTAGGAATTCATTTAAATACATTTATGCAAAATTGTTTGATGTTTTAAAAATGTTTTTGAAGCTTATTGTTTAATTTATTACACAATGATAGATAATACAAAACACTAAAAAATCTTAATAAAAATTATAGTTTATGAATCAGTGGTTGAAATCATGAAAAAATTTCATTTGATGCACAAATTACAAATTAATATAGCTTGAATGAGATTTGAATTTTTATCAAATATTTCTGTGTAACTTGTTCAAAAATTGTGAATGAGTAATACAGAATATGAAACTTCTCGTCAATGCTGTTCTCATGCTTTCCACTTTTTCAGAGATGTGCATTGATTGTTGACAACTGATTCAGTAGTCTTAACTTGGAAAAATTATGCTGCATCAAACAATTGGAACTTTTTCTTTCAATTTCAAAATTATAACAAAACCGATGCAGGCATCAGGAGGCATACTAAATAGTTTGTATGCTTAGCAATGATAAATAATTAATTACAAATGGTTTACCTAAAGTGCAGAAATGTTTGGCAGAACACTATTGAAAGTGAACTGCCCATAACTATCATTGTCATGTGCAGTACTAAAACCAACATCCCTACATCCAATTCTCATGAAATAACTTTCAAAATACTACATATTTCCATTATGATTGCAAAGAAATACTGTAATATTCCGTTTCAAAACATAATAATAAAACAAAAAAGCATAGTTATCATTGTCATGCACTATGACCTACATCACTACATCCAATTCTTTTTAAACAACACAGCAAGCAGCATGCATGCCGAATACAGTAGAGCGTCGATTATCCGAATCAATTGGGGACTGGGGTTGTTCGGAAAATTGATTTTTTGGATAACTGATTATGTACAAAAAAATACATTATTAATATACTATATTAGTATATACCAATAATAGTATATTAATATATCCCATTTTTAAATTTTTCTCCGTTGCGTGTCGCTTTGCGTTGAATTTTCATCAATGTTAAGCCTAACGAAAATTTTTATAACAATAATCGTGGCTATTGTATCATTAAAACTTATTTCTTTATTTTGTACAAACAAAATAAATATATTGAAAAATATAAAAAATTGTACTTTAGAAGTTATTGTTTTTATCTAGTATCAAAAACGTTCAATTCAGCACAACATAGTCCGACTGGAACCCTTTTGGTTGATCAGCATTGAGATAACTCTTTTTGATGGTACAGTAGAGCATCGATTGAGCACAGACTCTGGCAATTTCTAGATTTGCTGCTATGCTTTGCTGGTGCTTGATATGCTGACAGACTGGCCATTTTTTCAATTTTATATAGTAGATAGATAAAAATAATAATGAATTCCTATTACAAATAATAATATACTGAATTATACTGTAACAATATAAAATATAATTATTCATATTGTTAATTTAACAGCTAAGGACATCCCTAGTGGCTGTTTTTGGGCATACCGTGACAGAAACTGCCCAGTTTTTCAGTTTTATATAGCAGATATTCATTATATTTGAAAATGCTTCCATAGAAGAAATAATAATAATCTTTCAATCAAAGTTCCTTGTTTACCAAAACTAAACCCAGTTCTTACATAGTAAATGGCTTGAGTTCATTTATCAAACTTGTGGGAATGGTGCAAAATTTAAATTTTCTAATTGTTTATGCCAGATCCTGTATTTAAATTCTTAAATTTTGAATTTTTTTATAATTATGTAAAGTATTATTTTAGATTTTGTAGTAGATGCCACACGTAAAGGAAATAAAATTAGATTTGCAAATCATTCCATCAATCCAAATTGTTACGCCAAAGTTATGATGGTGAATGGTGATCATCGAATTGGTATTTTTGCAAAGCGTGCAATTCAGTCTGGAGAAGAACTCTTCTTTGATTACAGGTAAATTTCTTAAATTTTTAAATAAAATAAATAGTAAATATAATAATAATAATAATAATAATAATATTGATTTAAATTTTTATCAGATATGGACCTACAGAACAATTGAAGTTTGTTGGTATTGAAAGAGAATTAGAATTTCCTTAATAAGTTTTAAATGCAATTCATCATCATCCTCATAAATGGAAGGAGAGGAGTTGGCATTTTCAGTTGTATTTGCATTTTTATAATTGATTTTATAAAATGATTCCTAAAATAAATATCTTTTTATACATCAATACACAATAGAAAATAAATTTGTATTATGTAATGTAGTACGATGTAAATAATGACAAATCTTCATTATATGTCATCTTATATAGTCAACATTTTAGATTTTATTTATAAAATATTTTAAGAATTTATTTTGAGAAATAATGATTTTTTTCTTATGTAATCAAAATGTCATTGTTTATGATCCTCAAAATAAGTCTTCTGTATATTGTTAATTATCCATCCATTTGTTGCAGAAAGCTTCAGAGTAACTGTAACCGTTGCTATTTGTGTGCGATGTCGGTCTGTTACTGTCGGTCTGTTACTGTCGTGTAGCAAGCGTTGTCAACCATAAGTCGGCAGTATCTCCCAATTCTTGAAATTGTCTGTGGTCTTGAAATTAGTATACATTGTGTTCTGGATAAATTACTCCATTTAGCTTGATATCAAACATACCAATTGTCTGATCATTTGTTATCTTTGTGTTGGATAATAAACTTTGTGTTTGTTAGTAAAGGTTTGATCATAAATACCTTTGGCTTTTTTAAAAGTCTATTTGTCATTAGATTCTTATATGTTGCTAATTGTATTCTTTGTATTGATAAAAATTCTGATTAGAATTTTACCCGTAGTATCACAAACTTAAAATTCAAAAGAATTTAATAATATAAATCATCATAATTTATAGAATTCTAATTATTCTTCACATAAATAAATATTAACAATTAATATTAAACTTTTCAAAAAAATGTAGGAATTAGAAAGTAAATTTAAAATTTTTCTTCAATTTGTCAATTGAGGAAAAAAGACACTGCATTTACATAAAATTAGTTAAATGACACTAATACGTATACTTGTAAAATTTAACTGTTTTTAAAATAGTATCCTCACCATCTCTTCAATACATAAAGATCTTTTGGTCAAATTATGATAAATAATTTTTAAACATTAGTTTATTAAAAAAACATAATAATAGGTGGTGTTTTTAATAAGCTTTGTAATATTTACCTATAAACTTCTAAAAAACTTTTTATTCCACAATATATAAATTTTCTTAGAACCAAGGATTATATTGCGCTTATATTGACTAAGGGAAAAGTTCCTATAGCATACAATACATATCTCATATGCAATGTTCCCTCTAAGCTGCGCACTGCTCAAATTGTTGCCGCGCACGAGAATTTATGTGCCGCACAGGCGATCATGCACACCGATTTGAATTGTTGTTTACTTATTCCTCACTCTGTCTGCAACATGATTATTGCTACGTATATTTCAATTAAATACATTAAATCATTGACAAGAGATATTTTGTATAAAAGAATGTTTTAAAATTAATTTTAATCTCTACTTTATAATTAATTATTTTNATGATCAGAAAAATTTTTTGCTCAGAATCTGCTCAGCAAAAAGTTTTTTTGCTCAGAGAAGTATATGTTCTGCTCATCGACAAAAAAAATTAGAGGGAACATTGCTCATATGTTTTTCATTCAGTGTTTTATAGGAAAAATTTGTAAACAATGCAACCCAATTACTAAGCATATGTTATACAAATGTAAACTTATCCTGCACGTTTCAAATACAATTGGTAGAATGCCAAATGCATTTTTCTTTCAGTTCCCAGGTCGACAAACTAAGAATACATCTCGGATGTTTCCAACACTAGAAAAAGCACATTATAGGACTAGAAAAACACATTTTAATCCAGATGTGCCAGTTTGTTACCAATATATGAGCATTTTGTTTAGTTTTAGGAAATTAGTTGGTGTTTGGATGGACATTGCAAAACACTATTTTAAATGGGAATAAGCTACCGCTCACAGAATGCCTAATCTTCAGGAATGAATTACTGATGTTTACAAAATTCTCTTTACATCATATGTCCTGCTAAACAGACTAATACATTCACATATATGAAATTATCTGTTAAAACCAACTGATAGTCAAATGGATGATCAGTACTAAAATATTCTATATCTTGTTTTTTGTTTGTTAGGAAAATGGTTTTATTTCTAGTTTAATACCAAACAGGAATCAAATAAGTTTAATGGAAGGCATGAAATGCAATCCTAGTAGAAAATACATTGAACTTCTATGCTGCTCATATTTGTCCTCTATCACGTTCTCTATATCAGGAACATGCATAAAATTAAGTGGCAGGAGGAGAAACAGAAAATACGCTTTCTGTATTGTTTAATTTACACTTTTTGGCCAAGTGAACATTATCATTCATATACAGTGTGTAAACAAATTGTCCTCATATTTACAGAATGAATAAAAAGTTTGTGTGTAATTAGAATACACAAAATTATTGAACATTGAATAAGTTTGATGACATTTATTTATTACATTGCCCAAGACATTTCCTAGAGTCACTCTCCACATTACATAACAAGCCCAAATAAACCAGCAAAATTACAGTATAACAAGGGGGAAAAAGATAAAAGCTAAGACAGTACATAAAATACATATACAGCGGAAAAATATATAAAAATAATTTATTAAAATACATTTCTATATCATTGCGTCGTATATAAGTAAATGTAAAGCGCAAAAATGCGAGAATTATAATTAAAAACATATATTTTTTACACAACTTACACAGTATGTATTTTTCGCGAAGTAAAAATTTTGTGGGTCCATACTATCTGCTATTCGATAGAAAAACATCCCTGTGCGAATACACACAATGTTGCTGGTGTTTCTTCCAGGGATTCTTAGACATAGCCAATGTCGAGGAAGTAGACGTATTTTTTAAAATATTTTAACGAAATTTAATTCGACGAAATTCGGAAGTCCTACTCTTACTCTAACAATATTTGGGTTATCGTAGGGTTACCATACTTAACATGTCCGTATTTAATACGAACTGTCCGTACTTTTCAACTGATCGCGCAGTTAGTAGCTAAGTTTTTGATGATGATTATTAGCTAGGTTGAGGCCGAAGTTTTAAACGCGAAAACGTGTACGTCGGACGTTCAGCGCCGCTTTCCCGTAAGCCTAGAAGTTTGACAATGGTGTTTGGATAGTCAGTGGAATCATGCTGGACATTCCAAACACCATTGTCAAACTTCTAGGCTTACAGGAAAGCGGCGCTGAACGTCCGACGTACACGTTTTCGCGTTTAAAACTTCGGCCTCAACCTAGCTATTGTATTTGTTGACTAGGTGGCAACAGTGCATAAGCAAATATAACGGCTCTATTGCTCAGAACACGTGCCCACAAACATTCAATATAACGTTTTTTTATTCGATAGAAAACTATTTTACCACTTAAAGAACTTATATTTAAAATTGCATCCTGTGCCCCAAAGGAAAAAGTAAATTTAAACACTATAAAGTTTCAATTTATGTGTCTACATTTATTAGATTGAAAAACGAATAAATTCCTTTTATTTTGCCTCGCTGTCTGAGTACTTTTAATGCTAACCTGTCCGTATAGAGAGGTTTTAAGGTCGCATTTTACATGATAAAACGCACGGTTGCGCTATATTTGTGGTCTAGCTTCTGCTTAGCTTGCACGCGGTTGGATATTTGGCAGCGCTTTTTTCAGTTTAAACTTAACAGAACTGCAGTATTTTTATATCACGGACAAAGTTAAAAAAAAAAAGCTTTTCTGGCGGACTATTCTCGCAGTCTGACAGGACGGGATGATGCTCTATACGAAGAGAAAGTTTCATTATGTCAAGGCGTTGATCCATACGAAGCCATCTTCATTGTGGATCAAGAGTCTGGCCTAAAGTAGAATTTGGTGACCTCAAACTATTTGGTTATGACGGCGAATTACTACGCTCTTTAACAAACGAAAGCTTTCAAATCTTTAGAGGCCCATAACTATCTTACAAGTGGCTGTGTTTCTCCTAGTCACGTGCTTTCATAGCGCTCCCGATATGCAGTTCGGTTGTGGCTACTCTCGTACCCCATGCATAATGTCGGCATCCAGTCTGGTTTTCCTTTGGTTTTTTTTTTTAAACCTTTTTGCCCTTGTGGGCAGTAAGAGGGCCTCTTTTAGCAAGCCCATTCTGGGTTCGACCAGGCTCACAATGGGGCGACCAGGTGGTGAGGGATGAGCCCAGACTCCGAACGGACCATCTCCCGAAAAATTCTTGGGGATTTTTTGACCCGTCCGGATGCGATCCCGGGTTTCACAGAGCGGTAGGCTGCCACCTTGACCGCTCGGCCGTCATATTTTCCTTTGGAGTAAAAAAAATTCTCATTAATATATTAATACATATAAAATTATTATTATTAAAAAGAACGGTAGTTTTCGGTTAACAGGACGCCAGTCTTTTTTTACTGCAATTTTTAGAGAGGAATTGCTATTTTATTTCGTGATTTATACATTTAATTTTTCTAATATTTTTTCGAAAAGTTAACAAATGTATAAACTTATAACAAATTTTTCCCATATTCCACGGGAGGCATAAACCTGCGGATTTCGTAAACCGCACCGTTTACCGTAAACATGTCTGTCTTCGAGTATAATCGACGCCACATAAATTCGATTATATATGAATTTAAATGACGACGGGAAGTGCTGCACTGTCTTATTTCTCCATTCAGCACTCCCCAGAACCTTTCTAAGTTTTGCCAAAAAGTAGTAGATTACACTATCTTCTGTTACGTTATCTCTTACGGTCAGGCACGGTGACTAGGAAACACTTTCGACTCGCGGCAAATCCCGCTGAATACCCACTGCTGCGGAAGAACACGTCCGACATGTTTTTTGCGTATAAATAGATTTTTGTTCACCTCTAAAACTTTGTTTGAACCGCCTACTTTTACCACGGATGAGGAAATTAATGAATTGGCACATACCTTACGCATATAATTATTCCAATCGACAGTCGTATACCGAGATTAATTCCTAGCTGTAGTTGACAAAATTCCACAGAAGTTAATTCGGGACACCAGAAATAAATAAATCGAAGAGCAGTCAAAAAAAGAAATACGGGATCTCTTCGAATCTTTCTTTTCGTGGCACGAACAAATGTTACATCTCCATTTTGGTTCTTCGAAAAAATACAAATTCATTTTGTGACTGTCCACACGTAAGACACCTTTAGCTTGGTAAAAAGAATTGCGATTTCTTCCTCTTTTGGCAATTGCCAAATTGTGAAATTCACATGCATTGGAGAAAGAAAAAAAAAAAACAAGATATTAAAAAGAACAATTACCGTTAACATTAAAGTACATGGATATATCTTACATCGCTTCTCCGGAGAAACGTAATTTACATACCCACGTGATGTTAAACGATGCATCAAATGAAATGCATTAATTAATTAATTAATACGTAAAATAGGTTAGGAATTTAATATAAATTTAAATTGATCCTTGTTTGGGATTTTTAATCATAATACATGAAGTATCATATTTATGTATAATTTCTGTTAATCTGAAACTTATGAACAATGGAAATTATTGGTTTATATCTTTAAAAAAATACACACGCTTATTTATGTAAACTAGACTGGAAGGACAATTGAAGAATTAGAAATGAATTTTGAACTATCTGCTAAGTGATTATCTTTGCTTAACACTTTAATGT